CCCCGCGCCGCGCCATGAGCCGGCCCAGCGGCGCTCGCCTGGCCCGCGGGGCGCCCTGGAGCCACAAAATGGCTACGGAAGAGGGTCAAGAAGAGGAAGAAAAGATGGGCAAGAAAGGAAAACGGAGCAGAAAGAGAGAAGGGTCAGAGGGGAAGGTGGCTGGGCATAAAGAAGTACTGGGGATAGAGAAGGGAGAGAAAAGTGCAGACAGAGGAATCAGGAGGAAGCGAAAGAAGAGGTGGAGGATGGGAAGCACCCCCCCACGGACGGATCAACAAACCAAAACCACACGCGTTTCGTTTATTCATGTATCCGCGCATGGGCAATGGTGAATACTTAGCTCCCAATGTCAATTTTATACAAACATGGGCAATAGTCGAGGACGAGCGGGAGCGCGGCAAAATTATTGCTTCCGAACTCAAAGCGAACGTATGTGGATCTTAGGAGAAGGTACTCATTCGACTCATTCGAAGAAATACATCGTGCACCAACACGTGTCTGGTCCTCAGCTGCGATGGGTTATGATCACCTCACAGCTGGGAACCATCAGGCCATGACCGAACCACTTGGGGGGTCAAGCGACTGCCGTTGGTTGAGTCCGATCTGGACTTCGACGGTCGTCCTTGGCGACGACTGAACCCAGGTCCGGAGCGCGAAAGGGTGCGCCGCCTTGTAAGTGGCAGCGCGCACAGTGGCCATCACCAGAAGGTCCACAAGAGCGACGTGCGACTACGGTCGACGAGCTTGCAGCCCTCGGGCCTTCACCACCAGAGGAGCCTTGCAACACTCTGGGGTGGGGCCTCCGTGCCCGCATCCGTGCAACACTCGAGGCGCCATCAGCGCGCCCAGCTTCCGCGAAGGCCGCGCGGGGAGGACAGGCGAGGCTGGTGGGCGGGAAACAGGCAAGGAAGGGGGGCACGGGTGGAGATCGGGTCGAGGGAAAGGACAGTGCAGGCCGACATCCTGCACCGTCAGCTGGCGGCGCCTCAAGTCGACGGCAGTCGCTCTGAACGCAGCCCGCTGCTCTGGCGGGGGCGTTCCAGGGCTCTCGGAGGGCGCTCCCGGCGCAGAGCGGAGGCGTGCCCGGGCACGGGCCGTGGCAGGGGGCCGACGCCTCCTCGGAAACCGCCCCGTGTGCGTCCATCGCATCTGCCAGGGCCGTTCAGACACGATCCTCTGCTGCCTTCGATGGCAACTTTCGCGTCGCCGCACTCGTCGCAATCTCTAAACAAGCACCCACATGCCGATCCCAACAGCAGTGTGCGCCGCAAGCGCCTCACTGTCGAACGCGCGATCGGCTTGCCAATGGCCCGCCAGATTCCGAGGGAAGACACCCATTGGTTCTGGGACCCTTTTGGAACACGGTTCTCACAAACAGGCGCAGGGCATCCTGGAGAGGCGTGTATATGCTACGCACGATATACATCGCGAACCCCAGAGAAAGGCTTCAGCCGTGCGTTGTAGTTCGACGGGCCCAAATGCCCAGCTGAACCCACGAGGGCCACCAATACTCACACGGATACGAAAACGTTTCCCCGAAATCCCTTTCCCCGGCCCTCGCTTCCACCGATCCCTGCTTTTTCGGGAAAGGCTGCCCCAGAGTCCAGTGCTTCTTATGGCTATCGCGCCCGTCTCGCGAAGCACCTTCTCCCAGAGTGGCATCGCCCTTGCCCTCGGACGAAGAACGTGAACACCAATTCGCACTTGCATTTCATCGGGGTGTCATTGGGATTCCATTCGGGTCTAAGTGGCGTCCTCCTGGGATGCAACTGGAATCTTGTTTGAATCCGATTGGAGTCCTATTGGTGTCGCGCTGGGATCCTCTTGGGACCACTTTGGAATAGCATTGGACAAACCCAGTGCCTTGGCAACCGTTCCAGAGTGCCGGGGACGTTCTTGCCCCCCCCGGACGAAGGGGGGGAGGTCCAGGGGCCCTGTAATGTTTTCTACCTCTACGGCTATGGGGGGCGTGGACGAGAGGAGTAGCAGGAGGAGCGAGAAGGCTCCGAGGGCAGGACTCTTCTGGAAGGTTCAAGGCCTCTGGTCGCCAAGTTGGCCGTAGCTGGAGCTCGCTCAGCTGCCTCATAAACACAAACTGAGCAGTTCAAACAAATACTTATGACGGCGAGTAATTACATGACTAATAACCCATTCCTTACGGACGAAGGCCATCCCACAAAGATTCAAATAACCATTTCAGGAAAAAAAGGAACACACACACCTGGAGAAGGGGCGGGATGAGTGAATGGAGGACGGACACTTCGTCATACCATCGTCGCGGGCGGCCCGTCTCTCCCGGCCTGTGGCCCAGCCTGTCTGCTTGCGTCTGCTCCCTGCTTCCCTCCTCACCCCCCTGCTCCTCCTCCCTCGCCATGCTGTGTCCCCCCTGTCCCCTGCTCCCTCGCCTTGCTCTTGCCGTGTCGCCTGCTCCCTGCCCCCTGCTGGCCCCTGCGCTTCGCCTGCTGTGTCCCCCCTGTCCCTTGCCGCTGACGCCGCGAAGACCGCAGAGGCAACCCCAGCCTGCGTGCTCCTGTGCTGCCGGGCACTTGCACGCCCGCTTCCCCCTGGCGGCGGTGTTCTCGTCGCTGTCGACGCCGGCCGCCTCGAAGGCGCGGATGCAAGCTCTCGGCGGCGGCGAGCACGACGACCACGACAACGACGGCCACGGCAGCCACGACGACGCCCGCGGCGGCGGCGATGACTACGGCGACCACGACGACGACAACGACGGCGATCTAGAATCTAGACGGCGACGACGACAACGACAACGACAACGACGACGACGACGACGACGAAGACGATGGCGACCGAGACAGCGACGGCGGTCGCATTGGTGGCGGCGCCGCCGCTTGTCGTCTGCCGGGCGGGGACAGCGGGACGGAGTCGACAAAGAGTAAGGGGGCGGAGAGACAGGTGGGGAGGATTCACCGATGCTTCTTCTTCCGTCAATGGAATGAAGGCCGAGAGCAAGGAAGGCAATCAGGCCGCAGCCCGTGGGCTTGGCCGAGAGCAAGGAATGTTCTTGGCGTTCTTCGGGCCTCGCCACGACTGGATACGTCTCGAGATCCTGGCGAGGAGGAAGCGCCCTCGGAGAGGCCCTCGTGCCGATTTCTGGACGCACCGACTGAGACCCGGTCGATGGCGACAGCTAGAAAAAGATAGCGAGGCAAGGGAGGAACAATTCGATGATCGAGATTTTGAAATGTCTCTCCCTCTTTGGCTACACGATCCGTGAAGTGCTACATGGGTTGCAGCTTCGGACATGATAGCTCAAGGCCTAAGATAAGTTCATGCGGGAACCCAATTTTGCAAATAGCCGTCTTCCATCATCCTACACGTTGAGACCTCTTACGGCACCAATTCGCGCGGCGCTTGGGCGACAGCCCTCTTTTGAACACGTCCTCCCCCCATCTAGGAGGATGTTGTAAGCGTTGGCGACGAATGCGCACGGCGCTAAAACGAGAGCCCTGGATTGAAAACGACCCCTCTGACACCCCCGAAGCTGTCGCACAATTGCAGGAAGACTGCGCGAGGCGCGCTGATGCGAACCACATTTCGAAAATGCCGCACCCTCTATCCCCGAAGCTTGTGCGCACGTTTAGACACATGCGCGCAGCGCACAAGCGAAAACCACATTTGTGTTGACCACCTGTGTCCCATATTTGTTGGTGAAACAAGATGTTCAGACGAACGGGCGGCACGACGGCGAGAGTTTAATGTTGACCCCCCTCTACATCGATCAAGCTGTTGCAAATTTGATAAGAGAATGTGCGCGGGCATACGGCGAGAATCGCATGTTGAAGCAGCTACGCCTCTCAATCCATGAAGCCGTTGCGAAATTCAAAAATCAAATTCACTTATGGTGAATGCCCGGCCATCCGTACTGACAGGTCTGGGGGTGCGACAGGGACGGGCCACTGAAAAGGAGAGGCGACGGAAGGGGTATCACCACAACCCGCGCCTCGGTAACTGCACGCTGTCGTTGTGCACTGCACCGTTCCAGCGCAGTTCTGTACCCACTGATGGGACATGTGTGCAGCACGATGCGCTTCACTAGTCGTTACGCGTGCTGTCGCTGAGCCATCTTGCGCGATACGCATCATGCAGCTCTGTTCGTGATCGTACAGCCTGCCACTTTTGAAGACAATGCCCTCGTCGCCGCCCCAGCGGACGCCCCGCAAGTGTTCATGCCCGCGGGCGCTTTTGTTTTGTACACCTGCTCGTCGCGCCTTTATTTGTTTCCCCACTTCTTATCCATCGTTTCTTTGCCCCCCCCCGTCATTTTCCACTTCTCTAACAGTCGTCCCTTCTTCTCTCCCGTCCCCCGCAACCACCACCACCCCCTGCTCTTCACCCGTCTAATTACTTGTCTCCACCCCTATCCCTCATTCTTTCCCTCACTCTCCTTATCCTCATGCGCCCCCCCCTCCTCAACCTGTCTCCTGCCCCCCTCCCTCTTGTCTCCTTCCCCCTCCTCTTTCTCGCAACCCTCCTCCTCCTCCTCCTCCCCTCTGCACCTCCTCCTCCTCCTCCCGTCTCCACCTCCTCCTCCTCCTCCTCCTCTTCGTGTTTCTCCTTCTCCTTCTTCTCCTCCTCCTCCTCTTCTTCCTCCTCCTTGTCCTCTTTCCCCTCCTCCTCCTCCTCCTCCTCCTCGTTCTCCTCCTCCTCCTTCTCCTCCTCTCCGCATCCTCCTCCTCAGCCTTTCCTTATCCTCTCCTCCTCCTCATCATCATCATCATCATCAGCATCATCATCATCAGCATCAGCATCATCATCATCAGCATCAGCATCAGCATCATCATCATCATCAGCATCATCATCATCATCATCATCATCATCATCATCATCATCATCATCATCATCATCATCACCATCATCATCATCATCATCATCTCATCATCATCATCATCATCATCATCATCATCATCATCATCATCATCATCATCATCATCATCATCATCATCATCATCATCATCATCATCATCATTATCATTATCAGCATCACCATCATCAGCAACATCAGCATCGTGCCGCCCCCCTCCTGTCCGTGTTCACCTCATCCTCTCTCTCTCTTTCTCCCTCCCTCTGCCACTCTTTCTCTCTCTCTCTCTCTTTCCCTCACCCCTTCTACTGTATCCCATTATTTTCCCTCCTGCCTCCCACATCATCCCTCCAAATTTTCTCCCCCCTCCTCCCCTCCCTCCTTGACTATCATATGTCCGTCCCGTTCTCTCTCTCTCATTCTCTCCTTCTCTCGGGTGTCCGTGATTGGGGGGGCGGCAGCAACCCGGGAGTGAAGAGGCGTGCGCCCTTCGTGCACCTTTTTAAGCCCGCGGTGGCAGTTCAGGGACCATTTACGCCTCTTTGGGGGCCTCCCTTCATGCAATCCTCGACCCCCACGTTTATTGTTCTCCCCCCCCGTTGCCGCCACCCCGGCTCTCTCTTTCTCGCTCTCTTTCGTTCCGTCGGCAAGGAGAGGATAGAGGTGGGCCAGCAGGCAGCAGTAGGGGGCGAGACGGACCCGTCCTGAGGTCAGCTCGGCACTGCGATCGCCAGAAGATAAATACGCCCTCCTGTTGAATCCTGCACACAGGCAGCTGGGCGGCAAGAAGAATGCAGCCGGGGGGAAGGGGAGGAGGGATCCCTCGGAGGGATACCTCGGAGGGATGAGGAGAGGAGGGGGCGAACCCCCTCTCTCTATATCTCTCTCTATCTGTTTTTCTCTCTCTCTCTCTCTCTCTGTCTGCTTTTCTCCGGAGCGAGCGCCGGCCCTGACGATCGATCGTCAGGCAGCGAGTAACTGAGGGTAGGAGCGCTCCGCGGAGGGCCAGATGCACTACGTCGGCGGGCGAGATTCAGCTCGCCCGCCCCCAAGCGGTGCGGAAGGCCGGCTACGCCGTCCTCCCCTTGTGCGCAGCACAGAGATGCAGATTCCCTCTCTGTCTTGTTCGCGTCAGGAAAGGCGCCCCCCAGGACACCCCAAAAGGTCCCAGGAAGCCGTAGGAGGCTCCAGGAATGAACAGGAGGCTCCAGGAAGCCACAGATCCCCAGGAAAACCCAGGAGGCCATAGGAGGCCCCAGGAGGTCCCAGGGAACCCCAGGAGGCCGCAGGAGTCCCCAGGAGGCGCTAGGAAGACCCCCCCCACCCCTGCGGATGTAGCGTAGCGACTGCTGCGCGCTGCGCGGCCCCCGCGCGCGACGCGGTCGACACATAACTAATCGCGCAGCGATGTGCATCTTCAGGCAGACCCACAACTCACACGCTCGCGCGCACGCACGCGCGGACGCACGCACGCACGCACGCCCGCCCGCCCGCCCGCCCGCCCGCCCGCCCGTCCACACATACACACACAGACACACACACACACACACACACACATACAATCACACACACACACTCACACACACACACATACAATCACACACACACACAAACACAGACACACACACACACATTGCTGCGGAGGTCGCATGACGACCTGCGCACGAAGCCCGACCCCCGCGCGCGCGACGTGCGCAAAAAAATAGTAGTCGTGTATTGAGGCGCCTTCCCTCTTTTACGCGCGACACGCTCGACAAATGACTAGTCGCGCAGCGATGCGCATCGTCGGGCAGACCGCTCCACCATTGCGGAGGTCGCAGAACGACCGATGCGCGCAGCGGGACCCCCTCGCGCGACGCGCACGACAAGGGATCAGTCGTGCAGCGATGCGCCTTCCACATTCGAAAGGGGCGGCGGGGTGTGAAGGCAAGGAGGGAGCTGACTCTCGGGCGCAGCCGAGGCAGGACGGGGGGGGTGGGTCACAGTCATCGCGTAGCGCGCACACAAGCATCCCACCCCCCGCAATCCCGTTGAGGGGGTGGAATGCGCGCGCACTCCGATGGCAGCACTCTCTCCCCCTCTCTCTCTCTCTCTTTCCCTGTCTCCCGACGGGGGCACAGCGCGCTCTGCGGTGCCTGTTTGTGGCGGAGGGCGCGGAGGCGCTCGGCGGCCTTGGCGACCTCGAGCTCCTCGCCAATGGGGGGAGGAGGAACAGGAGGAGAAGGAGGAGGAGGAGGAGGAGGAGGAGGAGGGCATGAAGAATAGAGGGAGGGACAGAAGGAGGAAGAAGAAAAAGGAAGGAGCAGAGGAGGGGGGGAGGAGGGGGAGAAGGAGAGAAGGACAGAGAGGTGGCGGAGTGGAGAGCGAAGGACGAGGGGGAGAGGAGGCGGCGGGGGAGGAGGAGGCGGAGGAAGAGAAGATGACAGAGAGGGTCGAGGACCGAGGGCCCAGGAGGGGGGTCGAGCCGAGGCGAGGACGGAGGGCCGAGCGTGAGGAGGGTGAGGGAGCGTAGTTAGGCAACGAGCCCGTCCGTCCCTCCCCGCCCTGCCTGCCTCCAGGATGCCTCCTGCCGTGGGGTCCTTCCCCGCAGCCTCCCCGGGCCTCTGCTTCGCCCCCCCCCCCCCCCCAGGCAGAGAGGCGGGGAGGGGGGGGGGGCCATCGAGGGCCTCGCGCCGCCGAGGGACAGAGGCCCGCAGCCGGAAACTCGAGGGCACTGTCATGCGGCGGTCGGCGGCGCGGGGCCCTCGATGGCCCTGCCCCGACCTCTGCTGCGCAGCGGCGAAGGAACATCACGACGGCACATCCCTGGCGGGTTTTGAAGCCTCTGGGGGCCCTCGCCGTCCACCCAGGGCCATCAAAAACCAACCCCATATAGGGCGAGCAACTGACCCTGGGGGAAGGGTCGGCCCCCCCGGGGACCCCGTGGTGAAAGAATCGAGACATCGGATGTCTGGGGAGAGGAGCCTGGCACCCCAGCGATCCGACGCTCCAAAACAATTGGAGCGGGCGGATTTGGGCTGATTTCGGCCTCCGGGGGGGCCTCTGCCGGCCTCGGGAGCATCAAAAAACGACTCAGGGCGAATCGCTGGCTCTAAAGGGAAGTGGTCCAGACCTCCGGGGCCCACGCACCGACCCAAAAAATTGGAGCAGCTGGATGTCTGGGACTCCTACGGCATTCCCGCGATGGGCTTCACGTTCTGAGTGGGTACAACCTCTTGTTGCCTCCCCCGCCTCATCCTGCGCTTTCTGTGCCTCCGTTCGTTCCTGGCGTCCCGCCCGTAGCCCGGCTGGCGCCTGCACCTGCTACGGCTCGCTTGCGCCGCTGACTCTGGGGAGAGGAGGGTGTGAGTCCGTTAGGCTGTGATGGCGGGGTTGGCCCTCTGGCCGCGGAAACATCCCGTCACGTGCCCCACCTTACGTTGAACGCCCGAAATGGGTATGGAAAGAATGGGCACGATGCCCCACAGCACATGTTGCCCGAAACTGGCAGCGGCGGCTGTTGGGCAGGTGAACTTGTGTCTCATATGGACAACGACCGCGGCGATGCCGACAGCGAATCCTGTCCAGCTGTTGGACTTTGTGCCCATTACTTCTGTACCTATTTCGTTCCCCCGACTCATGTCCGCGCACCAAGGCCCACCCAACGGCACCTGTCAGCCAGCCACACTCGGACCCCCTTCGATGGGACCGTGGCCGAGGAAGGGGGAGAACGGGAGGACAAGAGAAGCGAGAAGAGAAGGGGGAGGAGAAGAACAGAGAAAAGAAAAGGGGGAAACGAGGAGAGAAGGAGGATCAAGAGCAGGAGGAGCAGGAGTGCACGTACTCCAAGAGGAAGAGACGAGGGCAAGCGGACACGAAGCGAGACGAGGGCAAGATGTCCGTCCGCTCCAGGCCGACCACCGCGCGTCTAAAGCAGGAGGAGTAGGAGAAGGAGGAGGAGGAGGAGGAGGAGGAGGAGGAGGAGGAGGAGGAGGGGGAAGAGGAAGGGGAGGAAGGATTAGGAGCAGGAACGCGGAATGGGGGGATGAGGACGAAGAGGAGGCGAAGGAGGACCTGGCGGTGAAGAAAAGGAAATCTGGGAGAATACAAACTGGAAGAGACAGGAGAATAGGAGGAGGGTGAGGAGGACACAGGAGGAGAGGGATCAGCAGGGGAGGACAGGCAAATGAGGATTCGGATAAGAGGGACTCGGATGAGCAGGGGGAGGAGGATACCAAGACAACGGCACTGGGAAGGCAACGACGCAGCGATTTGGGGAAGATCACGACAAGGCGACCTCAAATAAAAAATCAGCGCAGACCTCGCGACGTCTATGCCTGTTAGTTCTTGGTACTCGATAATAGAGGCTGCGGCATTGGTGGTTTGCCTTCCGAACACCTTCTTCTCGCTCTGCCTCCACTTGCCCTCCCCATCCCACCTGCTGCCATGCTCGGCCCTTTCCTGCCCCGCCGCCTGCGGATGCCACTCCGCCGGTCCTGGCATCCCGCCCATGCGTTCGCTGTCTCCTCTCCCTCCTCATTCCCCGGCGCGCCCTCCAGGGCCTTCTTGCCGGTCTTTCCGCTCCATCTCGTCCCGGTGTGCGACCAAGCAGGCAATTTCTTCCGTCGCAGCACGGCAGGAGCAATCCGCTCGGGCGCTCGAGCTGTCGGGGGCGCGCGACAAACGAATTGTCCAGCCACAAGAGAAGGCGCGCCCCATGCTGGACACACACACACACATGGCTGGATTTCCATGCGGGACATGAAGAGGGACTTCGAGCTGGATGCACATGCGTAAGCCCAACCAACATGCGCAACCGTAGGAGGGCCGAGAGCTCGAAAGTCATCCGGCCACATGTGTGACTACCTACCAAACCACCCCAACCCAACCCGAAGACCCGAATTTCGGGTTGGGGGGGGTAAGGGTTACACATGTGTTGTTTCGATGTTTACCGACCCCCCCCCCCACTGGAAATCGAGGGTAAATCTGAGCCTTCGGGTTGGGTTGGGGTGGTTTGGTGGGTGGTGAATGTGATGTCATGAACCCAGCTCACGCCTATGTTGGCAGCATCATGTGTACGCAGCTTCCCGGTCCAACCCTGGTGGGCGCGCAGGTCGAATTAAGCGGTTGCAGCTGGGATAAGGGAGTGAAGGCGGACACAACATCATGTACCAATTCGACCAGTATGACGGCACCAGCTGATTGTCGATGGGGTGCAGGCCCCACACGCACACACAAACAAGACTCAGAAACGCCTTTCAGCTGTACCCCCACAGCCGATACCATGTCAACCGATCACAGTAATTAAACGAACACGCTTTGCCAGAGGTGTAGGCCCAGACCCACCGAAGAGGCTCCCACGGAGCCCGCAGCGTCGTCGACCTCCTGGTGAGGGGCCGCGCTCGGGCGTCGAGAAGTAACCGCCTTCTTCTGACAGACCGCCTTCTCCTGACAGAAGGCCCCTTCCCCTCCTCTGGAACTTGAGAGCACTAGAAGAACGAGGTCGAGCGCAACTGCGCTCTCCCAGGAAGGAGCCACATGGAGAGGCAACCTCCCACCGAGCGTGGCTCTGCGCGTCGCTCGCGGCGTGCGGCGGTCGCTGCCGCTTTCCCTCGTGCGCCGCACAGCCCAGTGGGGGCGGTGACCAGTCGGACGTCGCAAACGTCGCCCTGAGCCGCCGCGACAGAGAGCACGGGTAAACCGATGCTTCCAACAGTCCAGCGCCGCACAGGCAACGCAGCTCAGGGAGCCGCGCCCGCGCAGACCAGTGGAGCGCGCCTCTGGAGGTCTGGAGCCGCAGGTGGCGACGCCCGGCTGACACGGCGAGGACGGAAGCACGGGCGTTACAGCCCTCGTGCTACCAGAGCCGCTCCAGAGCCCGAAGCGCTCCTTCTTCTCTCTTGCACAGCTATGTTCTACAGCTCCCGGAGAAAAACAGAACGGCCCCAAGAACCCCCACTCCGCATCATCCCTCTTCGCCTGGCCCTCACCCTCCCTCGTGCAAGGGCCAGGGCAAGAGTGCCACTTTTACCGTCGTCCCGACTGTGGCCAGTGCAGAGGGGGGAAGGGGAAAGGGGAAGGTGTGGGGAGCAAGGGGAACGTGCGGGGAGCGAGCAGGAGGTGTGGATGGAAGGGATGCAAGGGGACGTCAAGAGGGAGAGGGCGGGGGAAGAGGGGAGGCGTGGGGGGGGACGGGGCAAGGGAGGAGGGGGATAAACGGGGGAGCGGAAGGAAGAGGTGAAGGGGAAAGAGGAGGTGCAGGCGACGGAGGGACGGGGGGTGGCGATACGACAGCGCCTGAAGGGTCGACAGGTGGTGGTGACATCACCACAACGGATATTGACAAGCTCAGGCAGTTGCCCGCGCCATCACGGCGGCGACGACTGGCAGGAGCAGGAAGAGCGGAAAAGCAGAGAAGGGACGGATGGAGAGGAGAAAGGGAAAGAGAGAGATAGAGAGAGGGGGGGAAAGGAACGAGGACGAGGGTGACAAGGAGCAGCTCGCAACGGGGCCCTGCTGCGAAACGGGAGGTTCGCTGCGGATCCTTCTGATCCGCCTTGGCCTTCTCCTCCTGGTAGTGCTTGTTCGCCTCCTCGTACTCGGCCTTCTCCTTCTCCACCTGGGGAGGACGCCAGAAGCGCGAGGGCAGACGGCAGGAGGTCCTCATTCCTGAGAGCAGCGCGTGTTCTAAGAGGACTCCTAAACTTGCAACATGGAGATTAGCTCGAGGTGCCGGCTTTTCGCCTGGTGGACGCCCGTGGCGGGCTCGTGTGGGCTGGGAGTTCCGGGTGTTCGCCTGGCGGGCGCCATTGGCCGTGCCGAGGGCGCCCGTTGCTGGCCGGGAATTCCCGGCTTTTCGCCCAGCGGGCGCCCACGGCCGCCTTGTGGGCGCCTCGTGTGGAGCTCCCGGTTTTCGCCTGGTGGGCGTCCGTGGCCGCTTCGTGGGCGCCCCCTCGTGTTGACTGGGATTTCTAGGTTTTCGCGTTGTGGGTGGCCGTTGGCGCCGTGTGGGCGCCTCGTTCGTTGGTTTCGCCGCATGAAGAATCTGCACCACATGCGTTCCATCTCACAGCTTCCACTGCACAGTTTGCGCAACGATGTGTTAGCATAGATTCCCAGAACGATGCTTCTACTTACGGGCACTTGTGTCCTCAAAAGAAGGCGTGTGGGGGGTCTAGGGGCGCCGTGCCGGCCGTCGCCGCCCCGTCGCAGCCTATCGCATTGGCCGCGTGGGCGGTCTGGCGGCGCCGTCGCCGCCCCGTCGCCTCGGCGCCGCCTCGCCCATCACATGGGAAGTGGGCGGCTTGGCGGCGCCGTCGCCGCCCCGTCGCCGCCCCGTCGCCGCCTCGGCGCCGCCTCGCCCATCGCATGGGCCGTGTGGGTTGTCTGGCAGCTCCGTGCCAGCCGTCGCCGCCCCGTCGCTGCCTTGTCGCCGCCTCGTCGCCGCCGTTGGATTGCACCACGTAGCACGAAACAATGTGTGTGCGGCGCGCTTTTTTGATCGTTCACTGCATAGGTTGCATCACACATCGCGTACGACCTAAATTTCACGACATCCATGGCACAACCTATGCTGCACAACCACACTGATTGGACTAGATAAGCAGCACGACATAGATTCCCGTCGCCGCCTCGTCGACGCCATCGCCGTCCGTCGAATGTGTTTCATCGTACCGCAAATGTTGGACGACAAAATCGGCCCTTTGGCGCACTTCGTGATCGCTCACAACATGGATTCTAAACTTAGAATCCCCCTCGACTTATCGGCCCCCCCCTGGGGATATGCAATTTACATACTTATGATGCTGCCCATCGCCCATCCGAAATATGAACTCGTATGATCCCAGCTAAACTGGTATTCCTCCCCTCATCCTCTGCAGAAAAGCCATGCTCACGCACTCATGTATCACAAATCCTCGATTTCCGGGAGCCCTTTGCAAAAGATGGCACGCAATGCACACGCGCGCATCGTCGCGCGCGCATGCCGCAATCTGTCAACCAAATCGGCTGTCCCGAAAACAAATAAAAAACACATGGTTTCGCAACAGGGATATTCAAAGAAAGCCTGCACCCGCGCTCTTGCGAATCGTTCAAAAAACAATAGGTTGTTTCAACAAGTTCTTGCCATGCTACCATGGCGCGTCTCATTAGATTCGGGCTGCCTTTTACCATACACCATGCTTCGCGATCTGTGATCGACCGCCGCGGATGAGAGTATGAACGGTTTATTTGGGCGTCCATCGTCTAGCGCGTCCCCCCCGTTAGAGGATGCTGGGGTGCAACGCAGTCCAGCACAGAGACTCTGACTGCCTACCCAACCTAACGCGAAGACCCAAATTTCGGGTTCTGGGGGGTACGGGTTCCACAAGTGTTTGTTCAATTTTACCCGCCGCCCCCCTCCCGCCCCCACTAGGCACGGAGGGCGAATTGGGGCCTTCGTGTTGGGTTTGGAGTTTGGGTGGTTTGGTGGGCGGTGACTTTCCCCTACTTTCTCCTTCTCTCAACATCAGTTCCTCCTTCCTCGGGAGACGGAACCTGGCATCAACATAAACGTGTGGAGGTCCGCGCGGAATTCTCGGATCGGCGCCGGATGCGCCGCCAGGGGGCTCCAGCGCCGATCCCAGACTTCTGCACGGAGCTCCGACAGATGATGTTCATGTCACGATTAGTTCCCCGACTTCTTGCGTACGTTGTGCCTCCTCCTCACTTTCATCACCAGACCTCCGACATCTCGATTTGTTCGACTGAACACGACGAAGAACCTCCGTCTCGATTTTTTCGAGACGCCGGATGTCCGGGTCCGAAACCTCGCAATCCCGGGAGAGCGGGGGAGGGGGGGCACCAGGGTCTTCTTCTCCTCCTGCTTCGCGGCCTCCTTCCGGGCGGCGGGGGTCGGAGCCCCACCACGAGGGCGGGGTGAGGACTGCAGTGGGCACGCACGACAAAAGATCCCGCTACAAGATATCTTTGGGCTCAGTCGGGGGAGACCAGAAGGGTCCGATACTGCTACTCCCCAGACCTCTCGCAGGTTGCGTTCTGACCAGAATCTCGAGGCGGATCCAGCAATGGCGACGAGGGCATCCCAGGAGGCCCCAAAGAGGCGGAAACGAGGGAAGGCTACCAATATAGGTACCTTTTCCTCCTCTGACAGTCTTCGTCGATCTTTTAGGGTCCTGAGGTGCGCAAGGGCTTCAGTGGGCCCCCAAAGGTCCTCGGGGGAGGAGAAGCTTCCGTGGGGCACGGCAGGCTTCATCTTTGGCGTGCCCACGTGTTCATCCGGACGAGGTTACATCGGGAATCTGTGAGAGCTCGCTAACCTGGAAATGTGCCCCCAAGCATCGGGCGTCTCGAAGAAAATCGAGACGGAAATTGTTCGTCGTTTTCGGCCTCTCGGGGCCCTCGCCGGGCCCCGGGACCGTCAACACACGACTCGGGGGGATGTAAAACCGGTCCATGGGAAGTGGTCGGGAGATCGGGGGCACGAGTCTCGAAACAACAATCAAACGTCGGATGTCTGGGGAGGTGTCGGCGCCGCGGCCGCCGCAGAGCGCTCCAGAGCGCTTTGAGAGCCTCTGGGAACGCCCTGTAGGACTCACGTGTCATACGAGTACGATTTGCCTCTGGTGGACACGCACGTCCGACCCGATCATATGGTACACAAATCTTACAAAACAATTGTCCCGAGCGACCAGGGAACGCCCGCCACGGGGCTTATACTATACGGGTTATGAATGTGCGCATCGCTACTTTCGGAGCGACGCGCACATCTAGCAGAAGTACGATTGGGTGAAGCCGACATGGGAGCGATCATCGGTCCTCACGAAAACGTTTTCTTCAGTATGGGCTTCGACATTTTGCCGAGGGGTGGGGGTCTGGGTCGGGCTGGTGCCTAGTCGATCTGCTTCTGCCAGTCGAGCAAGCAAACTGTTGGGGGGGGCCTGACCAGTCGCCCAAAGTAGCCGCCCAATGCAGCCAAGATCTGGCCGATGTAGGGCGACGAAATCTGTACATATCCACTGTTCCCTGGCCAAGCCCATCCTGAACCCAGCAGCAGTATACGCCACGCCCTCCCGGCTTGGGCAAGAGGGCCTGCACACGGCTCCAGGCCCAGCAACGGGCCAGGCCAGGGAGGTAGCGGACATGTATAGATGTCGTCGCCCGGCTATGGCAGTGGGGGGCGAGGGGGGGGGGGGCCAGGGGTCCTCGCCGACCGGCGAAACGATACCTTAAAAGACGGCTGCCGTCCGAGGCCTGCCTGGAGCCCCGCCTCCCTCGAGCAGCCGATGTAGCGAGGCACGCTCGTCCGGGGCTCCGCGTCCTGGAGAGGGGGCCGCCCCTCGCCCCCGAGGGACCATCAAGAGGCGACCCGCGTTCGAGGGTTCTGCGCCCACCACGACGTCGGAGGAGGTATGGGGGAAGGAGGGGGGAGGAGAACGTGTTGTTTTGAAGGAGGAGGAGGACGGGTGCGCCTTTCGTGCGCACTGAGGTCCCGTTGAGAGGGGCGAAGACGAGGCGCACCTTTCTTCGCGCACCTTGGGGGCCCAAGGGGGGCCCCCTTTCTTGCATGCCCATACATCCGACGCGTCGATTCGTTCGAGACTCGGGCCCCGGACCTCCCGACCACTTCCCCGGGACCGGTTTGTCGTCACGAGTTGTTTTTGACGGTCCTGAGGCCCGGCGAGGGCCCCGGGAGGCCGAGAACGATGAACACAACCGTCGTCCCGATGTTTTCGAGACGCCCGATTTCGGGGCACCCTCGCCCCCGCCCCTGGCTACCCGCCCCCCTCCCCCCCTCGCGAAGCGCCCCCTCTGGGCTCTGCACCCCGGACCTCCTGGCTACCCGCCCCCCTCCCCCCCTCGCGAAGCGCCCCTCTGGGCTCTGCACCCCGGACCTCTGGGCCAGCCCGCCCCTCTCGCTCCTCCTCGCTCCCCCCGGTCCCGCGGTCGCCGCAATCCGGGGGGTCGAAAGGTGGCGCGGGAGTGCAGGTTCTGTGCTTTGGCGGCGAGCGAGGGGGGGGGAATAAATGAGAAGGAGGAGGCCTTCTCGGAAGCCGGCGGGAATTCTCAGAAGCCCTCGCGCCCTCTCTGTGTCTTCGGGGCAGGCTTACAAAAACTTCTCAGAAGGCCGGGAGACTTCTGAATTCCCCTTCTCGCTCGCCGCCGAGTGCTGGAGACCTGGTCTCGCGCGCGGCGTGTGCGATGGCCGGCCTTGGGCTCTTGCCAGCGGCGAGGCCGTGCCACACCAGACAGCAGGGGGCTCCCCTGCGCGTGCCGCTGCCCTCTCCGCGCCTGGTCCCCGACCCACGATGCAGAGCTCTTGGAGCGCCCGCATGGTGCAGCATCGGCCTCTGCCTCTCATGCCCTGGGGGTGCGCATCTGCTTCGCGGCCTCGCTGCGCCTGCTTCGCGATGCGAGCGGCACGCGCGCAGACGGAGGGGGACGGCATCGGAACGCACGAGCGACGCAGAACAAACAAAGCGCTTTCTTCTGATGTCAGGGGCGAGGGGGGAGGCAATTCCCGCAGAGCGGTTCGCGAGAGCGGTTCCGGCCAAGGTCAAAAAGGAGAGCCCCAGAAGAGTCCCACGGGGCGGCGGCGGGAAGCCCCAGACCGCCGGGTCAGCCGTTGCGCCCGACTTCTCCACAGTCTACTCGCAAAGGGGTGCTCTCGCCTCGGCCCGGGCTGCCGCGACTCCCTGCAGCAGGCGCGCTGCCGTGCACATGGCCGTGCCGTGCCGGCAGCCCCCTGCAGCCGATCTCCTGCTCCTCGACCCCCCCTCCTGCCCCTCCTGCAGTCGGGCTCCTGAAAGAAGGAACGATCAACAGGGAACGATGCCCCTTCTTGGCCCCACACCGCGCCTGCGTGCACGAGGACGGCTAAGAAGGAAGAGCCACAGAAGGACCCAAGGAATGTCGAGCCCCTTTCTTGCCCAAACTGTTCCTTGCTTCAAGGACTTGGCGGTGCCTGCTCGCCCCGCGAGGGGCCCCGAGCCTCCCTCGGAGAGGGAGCGGTCGCGGCGCGCAGGCACCGAGCGGCCGGGCCCCCACGGCGCTCCTTCCTGGCCACCTCCAGGGCGTCCACGGCGCTCTGCTCCTCCGCGGTGGCCTGGCGGCGCCCTTCGGGCCCCACCACCCCCCACCGGCCGAAGAGGGACGAGCGCCGCCTGCGCGTCGGCGGCCAGCGAGGGGGGAAGTGAGGAGGAGGAGGAGGAGGAGGAGGAGGAGGAGGAGGAGGAGGCGGCGGCGGGGCTGCTCAGAAGCTTCCCGGCCTTCTGAGGAGCTCTCTGTGCGTCTTCGGGGGCGGCGTCGAAGACCTCTCCAGAGGACTTCCGAGCCTTCCGAGAAGGCCCCAGCCCCTCCTCGTTTCCCCCCCCAGGCGCGCCGCCGAAGACGGTCATGGCGCTGCCAGAAGGCACACCAAAGGAGGAACGACGAGGGCCTTTCGGGCCACGGCGGGCCTCGCCCACGAGTAGGCTCCCAGACCCGGGTGCCACAGGAGCGACCCAAAAACCCGAGCGCCCTCTGCGCCCGAAGTGGTCCTTCTGTCGGCGCCTCGACTGCAGGCCATGAACCCAGACCCCCGACGACACGGTCGGGGACGTTTGCATAGCGCGCCGCGGCGGCGGCCCCGGCGACACGCTATACCCTGTTAGCGGGTGGCGTGTCGCTCCGCTCCGCGGGGTGGGGGGCTGGGAGAGGCTCGGACCGTTGACGCCCGGGGACCAGGCCGTGGCTAGCGTGTCGCGCGCACTGCTGCTCCTGCCAGCGGGGCGCGCCAGTGGCGCCGATGCCGCGCGGCGGCCCGCCCTCTGGGAGCGCCCCGTTGAGCGGCCAGGGGTGCCTGACGGATTCGGGCTTCCGCGAACTCGCCGGAGCGCGCTGGTGGGCGCGCTCCTCCCCCCGCCCCCCTCCTCCTCCTCCTCCTCCTCCTCCTCCTCCTCTCCTCCTCCTCCACCTCCACCTCCTCCTCCTCCTCCTCCTCCTCCTCCTCCTCCTCCTCCTCCTCCTCCTCCTCCTCCACCCCATCCCTCCGTCCTCGCCCCCTCGCCCGCCTCCCCCGCCGCAGACCCCCCACAGCAGCATCGCTGCCCTCTGGGCTCGAGGGGAAGCTCTGTCAACGCCCGCGGCGGTGGCCAGCGGACATCCACTGCACCTTTCGGCCCCAGGCATGCGATGTGTGGATTTTCTCATATAACGAGCAGCAAACGCGTCCGCATCCGCGCCCTCGTGGTCTGGCTTCCCAGGCGCAACTCCGCGGATACGCGGTCGCACGAGTACGTTGCGCGCGGGGCCTCCGCAAAAAACACCCCGTATCCGCGGGGTCCCGGCCCGGGGGCCCAAACTGCCCTGGGGCTCAGCGCGGGCACCCAGAGGCGCAGAATTAGCCCAAAAACCTTGGACGCTCGTCGTTGTCGTCGTCGGCGTCGTCGTCGTCGTCGTCGTCGTCGCCGCAGTCGTCGTCGCCGCCCTCGCCACCGCCGCCGTCGTCGGCGTCGTCGTCGCCGCCAGCGTCGCCGTCGTCGTCGCCGTCGCCGTCGCCGTCGCCGTCGCCGCCGTCGTCGTCGTCGTCGTCGTCGTCGTCGTCGTCGTCGTCGTCGTCGTCGTCGTCGTCGTCGTCGTCGTCAACGTTGCCGCCGCAGTCGTGGCCGTCGTTGTCGTCGTCGTCGTCGCCGTGGTCGTCATCGTGGCCATCGTCGTCGTCGTCGTTGTCGTCGTCGTCGTCATCGTGGCCATCGTCGTCGTCGTCGTTCTCGTCGTCGTCGTCATCAACGTCGTCGTCGCCGTCGTCGCCGTGGTCGTCGTCGTCGTCGAAATCGCCGCCGTCGTCGCCGTCGTCGTCCCAAAGCTCGGCCCAAAGACCTCTCGTCGCCACTGCCTTCAGCGACGCGAGGCACACGTCTGGGGCACGGCGGCCGCCGCCCCACCCATGGCACCGACGGTTGCCCCCGCCGCGACGACGCACCCGCGGGGCCGCAGGGCCTCCGCGTCCGCGGCGCCGGTGCCGCTGCTGGTGCCGTTGCTGGTGCCGTTGCTGGTGCCGTTGGCCTCCAGGCGGCGCGCCACGCGATCTCCTGCTCCTCCTCCTCCTCCTCCTCCTCCTCCTCCTCCTCCTCCTCCTCCTCCTCCTCCTCCTCGTCCGCCTCCTCCTCCTCCTCCTCCTCCCCCTCCTCCTCCTCGTCCTCCTCGTCGTTCTCGTCCTCGCCATCCTCCTCCTCTGCCTCTGGGGCGCAGGGCGGATGATGATGATGATGATCCTCCGAGGGAAGAGAAGGAGAAGAATGAGAAGGAGGGACGGGGAGTAGTTATGAGGGAAGGGACGAGGGCTCAGGGAGGGCACAAATAGGAGGCATGGTCACGAGCAACTGGAGCAGGGAGGGGAGGAGAAGAAGGATAATCAGGAGGAGTGGACGACAACGATGAGGTGAGGGTGAGGTGAGGAGAACGACGACAGTAACGACGAGGGGGGAAGGGGGTGAGGAGACAACGTGCACATCGTCGGCGCCCTCCGAAGTTGCCGAAAACCTCTGGGCACCTACGGCAAGTCCGCGTTGCGACGACCCTGGCGACCCGGCGCCGGTTTCTGACGCAGCATGGATCGCTCGACATGAAACAAACACACCGAACGAAGACCACCCGAAGCTGCCCGCCTTATTCTTGGCCGCCTGTGCGTCCTGGAGCTTCTTGAGCTTCGCCTTGGCCTCCTCGAGCTCCTTGCGGCACCTGCCAAAGGAGAGGTTGGCAGAGACGGGAGACGAGGCCGACGGAGGAGGGAAGATGACGAGGAGGACGGTGGGAGGGTGAGCTTGAGGGGGGAGGGGAGGATGGATGAGTTTTGTTTGCTTGCGGTGCGCGCCTGCACCAACATTGCCCCACACGTCTCGCTGAGCAGCGGTCGGCCTTTCTCTTTTGTAGCCGGCGGCGCTGTGCTGCTTGTTCACCTCCTTCGTATGGCTGAGCGGCGCCATCACAAAACCAGCTGCCACTGAAGCGGATGCTGAGCCCGACGCTGTAGCCGATATGCCGATATGAAACCTGCAGCGGTCGCAACACACCACGCCTGATAGAGTCACGGTCCGATGACACCTCCCGTGTCTCGGTTGGCATCGAAAATAATCACTACCATAGCTTGGTTGTCTCGCACGCGCTGATCCCTACCAGTCGTGATATCCCCTTCCATGAACGCAGATGATCGCAAATCTCAAAGCTCAGCCATCTGGCTTCAATTCCGCCTCCTGCATCTCTTCACCAAGGCCACAATCCGCTGCCTTTGCTCGCCCTTCCCGCGTGCGATGAATCAGGCATAGTAGTAGGCAGACCCGTGTTGCAGTTTCACCCTCAACGTTTTGCTGATCAGCGCCAAATCCCGCGGCCATTGCTTGCCCTTCTCGCAAGCGCTGATCCGCGCGTTGTAGCTGACTGATGCTGACCCGTGGACTACCGTACGAGTGCCAGAGGATTGAGCGTGCGCTCGTTGCTGCTTATTGCTTCAGGGTGCGCTGTTTGCTTGATGATCCTATGATCCTGACGGCATCTGGAGCAGCGCTAGCAGCGGCAGCAGCAGCAGCAGCAGCAGATCCAGCACCGTCGGCAGTAGCAGCAGCAACAGCTGCAGCAGCAGCTCCAGCAACAACACAAGCAACCAACGCGAACCTCCGGGGGTCTCCCGGGGGCCTTCTCGTCCTCGTCCTCCTCGTCCTCGTCCTCGTCCTCGCCCTCGTCCTCGTCCTCGCCGTCGTCGTCGTCGTCGTCGTCGTCGTCGTCGTCGTCGTCGTCGTCGTCGTGGTCGTCGTCGTGGTCGTCGTCGAGGTCGTCGTCGGCGTCGTCGCCGCTGTCGTCGTCGTCGTCGTCGTCGTCGTCGTCGTCGTCGTCGTCGTCGCTGTCGTCGTCGTCGTCGTCGTCGTCGTCGTCGTCGTCGTCGTCGTCGTCGTCGTCGTCGTCGTCGTCGTTGCCGTCGTCGTCGTCCTCATGCTCCTCCTCCCCTCCTCTCGCCCTCCTCCTCCGTCTTATCCCCTTCATCCTGTCCAGCCTGCTGCTTGTCGTGCCAGCAGTGCCGCGTGCTGTAGCAGGCTGTTCCCAGCGGAGGCATCGGGGAAGCGGCGGGGGGGGGCCCTCCGATACCCGGGAGGGGGTCCTCGTGGGGCTCTGTGGGAGCCTCTGATGAAGAGCCTCTGGGAGCCTCCTGAGAGCTCTTGGGAGCGCCTCTGAAGCCTTCTGGGAGCCTTTGGAGAGCGCCCGGGGGCCTCTTGGAAGCGCATCCGGGGCCTTCTGGGGGCCTCTCGGGGGCGTCTTGGAGCCTTGCTGGCCGTGGAGGGGCCCGGAGGGGGGGGAAGCGCTCCGAACTGGACTCTCTTGGGCGTCCCTTGGGGCCGTCTGGGGGGGTTCTTGGGCCGTCTTGGGGGCCCCGGGAGCTCGATCGGGGCCTCTGGGGCCGTCTTGGGGGCTCTCTTGGAGGCCCCCCGGGCAGCATGGGCTCGATTTCGGACGCCCGCGAGCGGTGCCGTGGTGGGCGTCTTGGGGCGAGCGGGAGGAGCACCACCGGAATCGTCAAAAACCCTGGAGAATATCGATAGTTTTGCGGCCTCGGGGCCCTCGTGGGGGTCCCCTGGGAGCTCCATGGGAGCCTCCGAGCACGTCCTCGGGCCCTCTCGGGCTCGCTGGGGAGCTTCCGGGAGACTCGGCATTGTAGTATAAATGACGTCAGGTCCCACCTTCAAAGAGTTCACTGCCAATGCCTGCCCTTCCCGCACTCGCCCGTCCAAGCGGTACAGCCTATGCTTAACGAGTGGTGCTGGGTCGGGCTTCGCTTTCCACATCTCACCCAGCGGCGCGAAAGCCCGTGCCACTGCGCGACATTACAGCATGCGCCGACACTCCTGGGACCAAGACACATCACTCTCTATCCTGGTTGAACCGTTTCGCGGAATATCCGCCACCGTGCCTCTGGGCACGGAGTGGGCGTGTTTTCAGGTCCTGGGTCCAATCCGGTAAGCCACAATCATCATTCCTGGGGAGTCTTCACGGGGCCCCGGCCCCAATTTCTCAAATCTCTAGTGGCTTGTCACGTCTCGTCGGGGGGTTGTCGCGTCTTCTCGCGTGACTTTTCGGGCCCAAGAGAGCCCCAAGACGGGCCCAGAATTCCCCAAGAGGCTCCCGAGACGGCCCAAGAGGGCACCGAGTCGCCGAACGATCGGTCCAAGATGCCCAAGATGGCACTAAGCCAATCCAAGAGGCCTCCAAGACGCCCAAAACGGCCTCCAAGAGGCATACCGAGAGGGCCCGAAGAGGCAACAATCATGAATTGCCCTCAGCTTCTTGAAGATTTTGGCGTTCTCGCCATTTCGGCTTCCCGACGCTCCACGACGACCCACGAGGCCCCCCAAGATCACCCCAAGACGGCCCCAGAGGCCCCCAAGAAGGCCCCAAGATGGCCCAAGAGGGTCCCAAGACGGCCCAAGAGGCGCCCAAGACTGCCCAAAGATGTCCCCGAGAGGGGGCTCAGATGGTGAACCCGAACGGGAATTTCGAGGTCTCGGCCCCGAGGCGCCTCAGGAGGCCCAAAGAGCCCCCCAAGAGGCCACAAGGGGCTCCCAAGATGCCCCGAAAGGACCCCAAGAGGTCCCAAACTGCTCCCAAGAGGCCCCCGAGAGCGCTCCCAAAGAATCATCCCTGAGAACTCTGACCCACAACCCAGGAACTCTTTTGATTTATCACAAGGGTGCCTGGCGTGCCGAACCCTGCGGCTTTTGGTTTTGGCTCTTTTCAGGAGAACTCCCCCTGGGGCTTCGGCCCAGCGCGCCGGCCCCCCGAAAAGCAGCCGGAAATGTACAGGCCGTGGGTTTTCGGGCCGTGGATGGTGTCCAAGACGGCCTGGAGACGGCCAAGATGGCCCAAGATGGCGTCCAATTTCGCCCAAGATGGTCCAATATGGCCTCCAAGACGGCCCAGGAGGGTCCAAGATTTCTCCAAGTCAGCCCAAGAAGCCACCAAGACAGCCCAAGATGGCCCAAGACGGCCCCAGAGGCCTCCAAGAGGCCTCCAAAAGATCCTCTAGGAGGGACCGAAGAGGCCACATTCATAGATATTCCTAAGGTTTTTGAGAGATTTTGGCATTTGCTTCTGTTCGGCCTTCCGCCAGACCAACACGGCCCAAGAGGCCGTCCCAAGGTCGCCCCAAGATCGCCCAAAAGACCTCCAACATGGCGCTATCACGGCCCAAGATGCCCCCAAGACGGCCCCAAGAGGGCCTCGGCCCAAGAGGCCGCCAAGACGCCCAAGATGGCCTCCAGGACGGCCCTGAAGCGCCCCAAGAGGGGTCCAAGTCAATTCAGAGAGGCCCCTAAGACGGCTTCCGACGACAGCTTGGCGATTTCAAAACGCAGTGGGCGGCGATTCGCCGTACGCGTCTTCGATAATGCATGCAGCCATGCAGTACGCTGCTTTTCCTTCGCTCACTTCTATACATCTCGATCGGCAATTGCCTAAAACTTGATCCTCGACAAATCCCGAGCCTGGACGGATGCCAGGATCCTCGGCGGATGTCGAACAGGGCCTCCTCCTCCACGGACGTCTAGCATTACCTCTTCCTCGATAGAAGCCAAACTTCCGAGAAAAAATCATACCGCAATGGCTTGAATCGTAACGGCTTGAGTCCAACTGTCTCATTCAACTTAATTCCACCTGAAGCCAAAATGACTACGGAGGGGGGAGAAAGGGGGGAGGCAGAGATAGGGTGGTGGGCAGGGAGACGAAGGACGGCGGAGAGGTAGGGAGGAGAGGGAGGAGGCACGAGAACGAGGAGGGAAGGGCGAGGATAGAGAGGGAGTAGGAACGAGGGATATGAGTGAGGGAACAGGAATTAGACAGTAGCAGGGTGGAAATGGGAGGGAATGGGAGGAAACCTGAGGACAAGTGAACGGAGGGAAAGATTAGGGAGGAGAGGAGGGCGAGCAGAAAAGAAGTGACCACAAAATCGGAGCGATTGAAATATCCTGCTACCTCCCACTTCTCCTCCTCGCCCGTCACCCTGCCCTCCTGCCACTCCTCCTCCTGCTGCCACTCTTCCCCCGCCTTCCCCACTCTGGCATCCCGCTCGTCCTCCTTATAACGATGACGAGCACAAACATCAGCAGCATAACCATGACCACCAGCACCATCCCGTCATCACCATCGTATCGTCACCATTGCTATCACCACCCATCATCGTCATCGCCAGCATCACCATCTTCACCATCGCTCTGGCTCACCCATGACGGTCGTCCCCTCGTGCCCGCCCCTTCGGCGCAGGACCCAGCGGTGGCGACGAGGAGTCCCACGCACGGTCCGTTGGCAAGTGACGACGACGAAGCGACAGGCGAGGCGTGTGCGCGCGTCGGCCCACACCCGTTCCCCCGACGTTCGGGCAGGAGCAAGAAACCGCGGCGCCTCTCGAGGTCCTCCATCTGCTCCTGGACCTTGGCCTGAGGGGCAAAGACAATTGGGGGGGGGACCGGCAGAGGGGGGGAAACATCGACCTGGAATCGGCCATGCATCGCCGATAGATCGCCTATGGGCCCCCGACGGTGCCTCCGCACGTTCCTGTAGGTTGAGGCTATCGGGCCCCTATCTGCGATCCATGGGCGCTTGGGGGTCGATGCATCCCCTCCTGAGCCCATGTCCAGGTGGCTTCAGGGCCAGAACTCGGCTCTCGGGTCGGGCGAAAGGGGGGGATAGCAAAGGGGGGGGTTGAGAATCAGCTCACGTAGCTGATTTTCCCGGCGCCTCCCGGCGCCGGAGGCGGCCATGTATCGAGGAATGGCCCCCTCGGTGAGGCCGAAACCAGCTGCATGCTCGGCTCTCCGGCGGCCGTTCGGGACGATGCAGGCACCCCTGGAGCGCCCTCGACGAGGCGCAGCTGATGACGAACGCCCCGAACCCGGAGCGCCGACGAGCACCTCTGGTGGCCCGAGGCCGGAAAGCCGCCGGGAAGCTGGACGTGGCCCCTGGTGGCCTCGGCCTCCTTGGTCTTCTCGGCGCCCTCGGCCTCGCCGGCGGCCGCCCCGCGCGCGGGGGGGGGGAGCGACGGCCCACAGGCAGAGGGCGAGCGGGGGGGGGGCCCCAAGGAGGGCGGCGAGGCGACGGGCCCTCGCTCCTCCGCTGCCCACCTCGTGCTCCGCGGGCGAAGGACGGAGGGGCGCTCGAGCACGAGCTGCCGAAGGAGAGCCACCGCAGCCAGCAGGCCTGTGGCAGGCCCGGCGCACGCGCTCCTGCGGGCTGCGGCGGCCTCGCCGGGCCCCTGGGCGGGGCGCGCCCAGCTGCCTATAGGGGCAGGCCGGCGGAAGCAGTGCTCCCGGGACTCGCCGACCCAGAATTCGGTCGGGCATGTCCGCCTACAGGCGGATGATGGGGGGGGGACTCAAACCTAGAGGCGGGGGGGTGGGGGGGGCAAAGCGTGGGAGGAAGCGATGGAAAGAGGGGAGAGCTGGTGAGGCTTCGGCTTCCACGCTGACGCGCCCGCCCCAGGTAGTCCCGACTGGCCTCGACAGACCCCCCGAGCAGTGCCGGCTGGCCTCAGCAGGTCCCCGACTGGATCCCCCACGCGGGGGGGAGGAGGAGGAGGACCATCACTTGGCTAAAGGGGAGGCTAAGGGTTGGCCGACCCGACCCTAACCCGAAACCTCGTGGCACTGGGCCACCAGTTGTACTCCACAGCGGCCATGGGTGCCGCTGAGACGGCAGTGCGCTGCCGACGCTGAAACCAGTGCTGGGGCCTGCTGTGGCCTTGCACACCAGGCCACAGCAGCACCGTACCGCCACCGCCCACGGCCGTGGGGGTGGGGAAGTGGGGCAGAGCCACTGTCGGGGCGGACTGGCAACCCAAGTCCACCCCCGTAAGGGAGCAAGAAGGAGGAGGTAAAAAGGAGGAGGCAAGAAGGAGGGAGGGGATGGGCAGGAGGAGGCGGCCGGAACTTACCAAGGGGGAGTCGGGGAGGAGAAAGTACAGGAGAGGATGATCATGGAGAGCGAGAGGAGGGGAGAAACGTGGATGAGGGAGACGAGCCCGAGGGGGCAACCTGCTCAAGACAAGAGCCAGAGGATGACGCCGATGACGCCAACGGCCGTGGCGCCCAGCAGCCTGCTCAAGAAGCAGAGCCAGAGGGCACGCAGGAGGGGCAGAACCCAAATCGAGGCGAAAAGGGCTGCACAAAAGCAGCCAACAGCCAGACGCTGGGACGCCCGAGCCTGCACTGGCCCTGCTCCGTGCCACTGCGGACATGCGCCCCCAGCCAGCGGCACCGCTTTAGCCGATGCGCCGTGCAGCCACGGCGCCATTGATCGATGGGTTGCCAGAGAAACGGGGACGGCGCTGGCCCGAGCCGCCAAACTTTCTTCGTCGGCGGCGAGGCCGAGGCAATCCGCACCAGAGAAGGAGCAAAGCAAAGACACTACTGAACTAATTGTCCGGCGTGCGGAGCCGCCGAACACGCAACCGGCGCAATCCAGCGCGGCGGCCAGCGGGGCCAGCCATGCGCGGCGCCCTGCGCTGCGCAGCGCCTGCGCGAGGGGGACCGGCCCGACGGCGCTGCGACCCGGCGCCCTCGAGCCGCTCACTGGCGACCTGCGAGGCGCCGCGCTGCGCACAACGCTCTGCTCTGGACGCTCAACACGGGTACGGAGAGAAGGGGTACGATGCCCAGCAGCAAATGTTGTCCAGAACCGGCGCGGCCGCTGTTGGGCAGGCGGCCTTGTGCCTCAAGTGGGCAACGTCCCGGGGAGACACCGACAGCGAACCTTGTCCAACATGCACAGGAACTGCTGTCGGTCTTCGTACCCATTTCGGCGGCGAGCGAGGGGGGGAAGCGAGAAGGGGAGGGCCACCTCAGAAGGCTCACAAGTCACCAGGCCTTCTGCCTTCCCCGAAGACACCGGAAACCTCCCACAAGGCCAGAGGGCTTCTGAGAAGCCCCGCCGCCTTCTGAGAAGGCCTCCTCCTTCTCACTTCCCCCCCTCGCTCGCCGCCGACTTACGGGAGCACGATGACTGTACCTTTCTGCCCACGTCGATCGTGCCCATTTCGATCGTACCGATCTGCGCGGCGCGCCTCCCTCCGCCGCGACGTTCTCATAGCTCCAGGGGGGGGGGGCCTGGGGAGGCTCCCCCTGCAGCTCCTCCAGCCCCTCCTGCTTCCTTCTCCTCCTCCTCCTCCTCCTCCTCCTCCTCCTCCTCCTTTGCCGACTCCTTTACCTCCTTCTCCTGCTCCTCCTCGCCCTCCGCAGCCTCAACCTCCTCTGCTCCTCCTCCCTCTGCTGCAGCGGCAAATTCCCATCCCTTCTCCTCCTCCTCCTCCTCCTCCTCCTCCTCCTCCTGTCGCCCCCCTCCTCTTCCTCCTCAGTCGCCCCCCTCCTCCTCCTCCTCCTTCTCCTCCTCCTCCTCCTCCTCCTCCTCATCCTCCTCCTCCTCCTCGGCCTCCGCCGCCTCCTCTCCCCCTCCGAGGAAGACGGCGACGGCGGCGGCAGCCCACGGCGGAGGCTCCAGCGATAACCGCGGCGAGGCGCAGCGCCGCCCACGGACACCGCTGCCCGCGCGCCTCGCTGTCGGCCGCGGCCGTGGCGTGCGTGGAGTTGTCGGCGGAGGCCTCGTCGGCGCGCTCCTCGCGGCGGCGGCGCGGCGAGAGCGCCCGCCGCGCGGCCTCGGCTGCGAGGGCGGCGGCCGCGACGCAAGGGCACAGCTGGCAGCGGCCGCGGCGGCGGCGAAGAGACGACGGCGACGGCGACGACGACGACGATGTTGGCGGTGGCGGTGGCGGCGGCGGCAGCTGCGACGGCGGCGGCCGTGGTGGCGGGACGAGATGACGACGTCGACGCCGAGGCGGCGGCGTGGCGACGACTCGGCGACGACGACGAGAGGCATGGCGACGATGAGCGAGGCACGACAGCGTTGACGGTAACGCAGCGTGTGGGCCAGGTGGGAGCGGGAGGGAGGGATGAACGATGACGGCGAGTTGGCTCGTTTTTCCCTGATCAGCTTGCCTCCAAGGATTCGATACAGGTTCCCCAGTGTGCTCCGCCATCGTGGCTCCCCATCGTGGCCACCGCTCCCCCTGTCGTGGCCCCCGCCGTGAACTGCAATCAGCTGCTTAGGGCTGCTGCCGCAAAGGTGCCATGCAGGACCCACTTGGCCACGAGGGGGGAGGAGGCGCAGGCAGGCCAAGACCAGGGTACACCCAGCACACCCGCCTGATGCTGCAGTGCTAACCTGCGGCCCCAAGCGCCCGCACCACGAATCAATACCAGTGTGTGCCGGGCACTACCGCGGCCAACCGCCAGAGGAGCTCGGGCTCCGAGGGCCTGCGCGGTGAGAGCCCCGTGCGCTCTTTGACGCGCATCCGCAAAAACATTGGCGTTCAGACAAATGGTGTCGTGATGATATGATGGATTTGAGAGCGAACGCCACGCAGGTGGCCCATGATTCTGGGGCGCAGGGTCGATTCTGAACAGGAACCGCCCTCCATCCGCGCCATCGCTGGAATGTTCCCCTTCTCTAGACCATGGGGGTCGACAAGGGCTTGCAAGCGAAACCACGGTGTATACATTGAACACCGCGTTATTCTAATCAGCATATTGCGCCAAGCGCGAAGCCAGTGGAACCTTTCCGCGGGAGCCTGGTTTTTTGGCCCGGAATGAAGGACATCTGCGCGTGTGGGAGGAATGCCGCATGTAAACCGTTAGATGTAAGAAGTCGCAAGCGAAAACCAACGTGTGAAACAGTGCTGCAAGTCGCGCGTGTAGCTCAAGCGTCCTGAACGAAACATGTGGGTAACTATCACTTATAATCCGCATTTTGAACAAACACCAGCAACCACCGTGTGAAGACACTGGAGGCCAGAGGAAACGAGCGCGCGTGGCGCGAATGCGAAGGAACCCGCGTTACAATTTGATACGATGGGCCGAACCCACGCAGCACTAAACCGAAAACGACACAAAAAAAACACCCTCACGGCATTGGGCCACCATTTGCCACTACGTGGTGGACAAATATAACATATATATACACACACTAGAACCACGCGCGCGCAACGCGCTCTTACGTTCTAGCCGCAGATGAGCCACAGGTGCCGCTAGAAGCCCCGCTCGGGCCCATGCCATCGACCCAAAGGAAGGCGTAATCAGAACGCGGGGCGTCACGCCCCCGCGTATCTCACAATCTCGCTGCCGCCTTTTGTTTGGTTTATCTAGCTGTTCTGTTTCTTCACTTTCACTTCCACTGTGCCCCGTCGTGACACTCAACTATTTTGCGCATATTTTCGGTCTCCCCATGCCCGATCACGCAGACATCCGCCGGGTCCTGATGTTGGGGTTGGCTCGGGGCCTCGTTGCGCGCGCGTGGGAGCGCGTTGTTATGTAGTTCCTCTTCCTTGAGCCCCATGCTTTTCGTTGTCAGCGGTCGTTCAGCTGTCGGGTATCTGCAGGGGGGCCCTCACAAATGTCCCGGTCATCAACGCCCTTCTCTGCAATCAGTTGTTGTCGACTCCGTCCACGGGAGTTGGGAAGCTTCTTTGTGCTAGACGCCAAACCTCATGCTGGCGATCATCGCACCCGTGGGATCAGAAGGATCGGGCTCTCGGGGGATGCTCAATGATTTGCCTGGCAAGTCCCATGTATGGGGCTGCCTAGAGCTCTGACGGGGCCTCTGGCGGTACCTTTTTGGCGCTCTGGCGAGGTTTCTTCAGGAGGTGAGGGAGGGACACGAAACCTCAGAAATTGTATGGTATAGCCACACCGGGCGGGTCCGCCCTGCAAGGATGGGAGGAGCAAAAACCGCATGACATAGCATGGTGTAGGGATGCCCTGCTCTCTCTGGCGGGGGTTTCCCTGGCGCTTTGGCGGGGCTCGCCCAGGAGGGGAGGGAGGAGCACGAAACCGGAGGAAAATCATGGTCTGGTCGCACCCCGTGCGCTCTGACGCGGTTACCTCGAATGCCGTGGGAGGAGCAAGACAGAACAGGGACTGCATATGGTATAGCAACTCCCCTCTCGCTTTGCCGGGGCCGCCCTTGAAGGGTGGAAGGGGTAAAGCAACTTGTAACATGATAGGGTAAAGCGATGCTCCGTTCGCTCTGGCGGGGCCTGTCTGGCGCTCAGGCAGGGCCGTCCCAGGAGAGAAGGGAGGAGCACGAACGCTGAGGGGTAAGGGGAGGAAGAGGAGAGAGGAGGGAATGGAGGCAAGGGGAAGGGGCGGGAGGGAAGGAGGGACGGAAGGAAATGCCCAGGCCATCTGGGTCGTCTTGGAACGCCTTGGGGCCTCCTGCTCCCGCTCTGTGGCCCAGCTTGGGCCTGTCCTGGGGCTCTCTTGGGCCGTCTGAGGCTCCTCCTGGGCAATTGTTGGGCTCCCTGGGCCGTCTTGGGGCTCTTTTGGGTGCCTCTTCGGCGGTCTTGGGGCGGTCTTGGGAGCGTCTTCGGCCGTCCTCGACCATTGGAATCACTGGAAGCTCGAGAACGCGAGAAAGCGAAAAACATTGAACAAACCAATGCAAATCAATGATTTGGGCCTCTATGGACTCTCTCGGGACGTCTCTTGGGGCTCTCTCGGGCCCTCTTGGAGGCCTCTTGGGCTGTGCGTGTTGCCGTCTTGAGCTCCTCTGGGGCCACGTTGGAATCATCTGGGCCGTCCTGGAGCGCCTTGGGGCCTCCCGCTCCCGCTCTGGGGCCCATCTTGTGCCTCTCCTGGTATTATGTTGGGCAGTTTGGGGCTGCTCTTGGGCAGTCTTCAGGCTTTCCGGGGCCGTCTTGGGGCTCTGTTGGGGCCTCTTCGGCGGTCTTGGGGCGATGTTCGGGGCGTCCTCGGCCGTCTTGGAGCGTTGGAAGCTCGAGAACGCGAGAAAACGAATAACATTGAAGAAAACTACTGGAAATCAAGGATGTGGGCCTCTTCGGGCTCTCTCAGGACGTCTCTCGGAACTCTCTTGGGGCCTCTTGGAAGCCTCTTGGGCTGTGTATTGGCCGTGTTGGGCCGGCCCATCTTGGGCCATGTTGGGGCCATCTGCCCTGTCTTGGAGCGCCTTGGGGCCTCCCGCTCCAGCTCTGTGGCCCAGCTTGGGCCTGTCCTGGGGCTCTCTGGGGCCGTCTGAGGCTCCTCCTGGGCAATTGTCGGGCTCCCTGGGCCCGTCTTGGGGTTCTTTTGGGGGCCTCTTCGGCGGTCTTGGGGCGGTCTCAGGGGCGTCTTCGGCCGTATTCGGGCATTGGAAGCTCGAGAACGCGAGAAAGCTAGACACATGCACAACAACAAGTGGAAATCAAGGATTTGGGCCTCTTTGGGCTCTCTCGGGACGCCTCTCGGAGCTCTCTTGAAACCTCTTGGAGGCCTCTTGGGCTGTGTATTTGCGGTCTGGAGCCCGTCTCGGGCCACGTTGGGGATATCTGGGTTGTCTTGGATGGGCTTGTCGAAGTCCCCTGGGGGCTTCTGGGAGCATCTTGGAGCTCTGGGAGCGGTCTCGGAGGCCCCGGTCCTCCCATGTGCGCTCGAGGCCCGGGCACTGGGCGCTCGGGCCTCGTGCGCGCGTGTGTGTGTGTGTGTGTGTGTGTGTGTGTGTGTGTGTGTGTATGTGTGTGTGTGTGTGTGTGTGTGTGTGTGTGTGTGTGTGTGTGTGTGTGTGTGTGTGTGTGTGTGTGTGTGTGTGTGTGTGTGTGTGTGTGTGTGTGTGTGTGTGTGTATTTTTATACATTTTTTGTATATGCGCCCCCCCTCACACACACACACCACACACACACACACACACACGCACACACACCTCTCTCTTTCTCTTTCTCTCTCTCTCTCTCTCTCTATATATATATAGAAATACTAGAAGTTTTAGTTAGGTTTGATGGGCTTACTCATGGACTATAAGTTGTGTCGTTTCTTCCATCCAGGGGCTTTTTTGGGAGGCCCTGTGCCAGCCTCTGGAATCTATCTTTTCTCAAGCTCTTCGGTCTTTGAGCGTTGGAAGCGCGAAAAGGTGAGAAGGCGAAAAACATAGAAAAACAAACAGAGGAAATCAACGATTTCACCCTTCTCGGGCTCTCTCGGGACGGCTCCCCAAGCTCTCTTGGGCTGTTTTGGGGGCCTCGTCGGGGCTTTTCTGGAGGCCTCTCAGGGGTCTGGGGTGTGTTGGAAGCCTCTGGAGGGTCCCGGAGTCCTGTCGGAGGTCTCTGGAGGCCTCCTGCTCCCGCTCTTGGGCTCATCTTGGGCTCCCGCTCTTGGGCTCCTGCTCCCGCTCTTGGGCTCATCTTGGGTGGGTGGTCTGGAGCTGTCCTGGGCGCCTCTTCGGCAGTCTTGGGTCCTTCTTGGCCAATTTTGGAGCCGTCTTTGGGAGCTTCTTGGGCGATCTTAGGGCGATCTCGGTGGCCTTTTCGGCCGTGTTGGAGAGTTGGAAGCATGAAATGGTGAGAAGGCCAAAAAAACGGGACAAAAAAAAAAGAACGATTATAGGTTCTCCGGGCGCTCTCGAGAGGCCTGTCGCTCTCTTGAGGTCTTTTGGAGGCCTCCTGGGCATGGAGAACCGCCCGAAAGCTATCTTCAGTTGCTTCGGAGCGTCTTGGGCCGTGCTTTTACGTTCTGGGGGCCTCTTGGGGTCGTCTTGGGCTGTCCTTTCGGCGTTTTGGGGGCTCCCCGGGAGGTCGGGAAGCGCGGTACCAGGAGCGTTCCGCTGATGCTCCGCAAGGTGTGGGACCCCCGGGAAGGGGGAGGG